TAGGTTCTGTGTCTAGGTTCTGTTGCCAGTTTCTGTCCAGGATCTTTTGCCATGTTCTCTCCAGCGAAGTTCTTCTGTCTCTAGGTTCTGTGTAGGTTCTGTCTTCTAAGTTCTGTCTCCTGTTGTCTTGTTACATCTGTATTTATACCAGTTGATTCAATCCTATCAATCTCTATTCCAAAGGTTAGGGCGTTTCTTATCTCCATTCCAGGGAGTAAAGATTATGTAGCTTAAGCATGATCGTTCGTAGTTAAAGTGATTAATTACCCTCCTGGCACTTAGTTAAGAGGTTTTATTCCCTCCCTAACTTCAGGGGAAAATCCCTACCTGGGGAAACAACTTTTCTTGGAGAGGTGACCTTGGTTAAAACACAGCGCCAAGAAGGTGAGCAAACATATTAAGAACAGTATGCCATATATGCCAGGTCCCTTGAAACAGCAAGGATGGACTGGCTCCCGGCATTGAACCAACTACATTTTAGAAGAGTCATTGCTCATAAAAAAGACAGGCCTGGGTGACACAGATTCGAAATACATTGATAATTATCAAGGCTGGGTGACAGGCACTCAAAATTAACTTTTCCCTTCCACTCTCGTGCATATTTTTAAATTTTCACAATTAAAGGTTAAAGCATCAAAAAGCAGCCCGGCGAGATTTGAAATCACGTTCCGACCAGTGAGTTACCAAAACCACAGGTAGAAGCCACGCTAACCCGGTTTGTATTTTTGTAAACATTGTGCTGAACAAACCTACAACCAGGAAGGACCCGACTGGAGCCCGGCTGGCCGCCAGGCGGCTGGGACTGAGCTGTCCCCGGCCGGAGCCTGGAGCCCGCTGGCCCGCCTGCGCCTCTCTCTACCCGGAGCAATGAGGGAATGGCCACTCCTGGGACCCTCTCCGGTGCCCTTAAGCAGGTCGAACTTCTAGTCACTGACCAAGTAAACCCAGGCCAGTGATCCCTTGGAAAGGGAGTGAGGCAACAGCTCAGAGGAAGCCGCCTGGCCCCGGGGCCACCTCCCCAGTTCAAACAAAGCTGACACTGTGGCCTCTACAAGGCTCAGCAGCTGGGAAAACCCGGCCGTGTTTACATAGAAACTTCTACCCCAGAAGCTCGAGGTCATTTAGGGCCAACACTCACTAATTAATGAGGTCTCCCAAGCCCCCTCCCACCCCCACCCCCTCGGCCTCTCCGCAGCAAGCCAGGGGTGGGGCCGGGCTGGCGCAAACACAGGTGCAGAGCAGGGGCACTGGGGGACCGCCCTCTGGGCTGTTTGGAGAACCCTGAACTTCGGAGCATTGGGGCTGGCGCTGGTAGTGGACGAAATCCATGCAGAGCAGGCACGTTTCCCTTCGTCTTGTCCACACTGAGTCTGGAGACACAGACAAGGACAGCAAGGACTTTCTGTCCCAGTGGGCAAATAAGAAACCGTGCCCTAATTCTCTGGGCCACGGGGAATTGCCACGCGCTCCGCTTCCGCTGTACCTGAGAAGTCCCTGTCGTCAATCAGGCCGCCGAGAAAACTTGACAAACACCTTGGAAATGGGAGCCGATACGTTGGGCTCCTCTGCCCCTGGAATTCCTGTTCCCACTGATCCACACTGAAGACAGAGGCTCCAGGGAATTCCTGCAGCAGCAGGGACTGGGGCGCGCCCCTCCCTGCCTGGTGTGGGGACCCCTGCAGTCACGTTGGAACAGAAGGGCTGGACCCCGCGATCCACCATCCAAGGGTCATTATTAGTTTTTCCGAAACTCACACCCCAATTCAAGCAGCCGGCTGTCTCCCAGCACCGCCTGAAAACACTGTCCAGTCGTGAGCCCTTTCCACGGAGAGGCCTTTCCAAGTTAGGATCCTTATGGGGGTCGGTGCACTTAGAAGAGCTGTGCTTACTGGTGGCTGGCTGGCAGGCCACCCCCCTGCCCCTAAGCCCTTCTGCTGCTCCCCATAAAAGCAGCAGCAACGTGCATCTGCCACAGAGCTGAGCTGGGCCACACAGGGGCGAGGAAGAAGTCACTACCCACATGGGAATAAACCCTCCACTGAAGCCCCCCTGGCTCTCATTGCCCCCTGGGCAGACCCATCACAGGGAACCACAGCTGGAGTGAAAAAGGAAGCTGCCTACCCCTGAACCTCATGGAAAGGGTGGGTGGTCAGGGTCCCGCCGCCAGCGCGGCCGGCTGCCACAGGTGTGCTGTCCCACACAAAAGCAGACACTGCATCCTTCGAAGACAGCGGTTCTCAACCTGTGGGTCGCGACCCCTTTGGGGGTCGAACGACCCTTTCACAGGCGTCGCCTAAGACCATCAGAAAACACATATATAATTACATATTGTTTTTGTGATTAATCACTTATCCTTTAATTATGTCCAATTTGTAACAATGAAATTGGGGGTCACCACAACATGAGGAACTGTATTAAAGGGTCGCGGCATTAGGAAGGTTGAGAACCACTGTTCTAAGGGAAACAAATGAAAGCATTCTTTATCTGGTCAAGGAAAGGAAAGCCAACAAGCTGGGCCTTTGGAACACAGGTAGAAGTTTCTAGTTCAGAGCCATTCTGGCTGCTCGGGGCATGTTTAGGATCCTTTAAAGTCTAAGACAACAACTTTTGAGCAACGGAGGCTCTCACCGTCCTCAGGACCAGCAATACCTCCAATGCCACACTGCATTTATTTACTTTTTTAAAAAAACTTTAAGTATATTTTTAGTGACTTTAGAGAGAGGAAGGGAGAGGGAGAGAGAGATAGAAACATCAATGATGAGAGAGAATCATTGATCTGCTGCCTCCTGCACGCCCCACACTGGGGATTGAGCCCGCAGCTCGGGCATGTGACCTGACCAGGAATTGAACCGTGACCTCCTGCTTCATAGGTTGACGCTCAACCACTGAGCCACACCAGCCGGGCACCATGCTGCTTTTTTAAAAATAGTCACATTTAATTTAAGAAAAACAGACTTTAAAAATTAAGTATTCAGCCCAAGGTCTACGGAAACATGAATGCCAGGTTAAGTGACAAATGTGGGTGGCACCTGAGTAGGGTTGTGCCATTCTCTTCATTACACTCTCGGTTCTAGAACCCACTGTATTGTAATCACCAATGTAATGCATAGGGTGGCTCCCCAAAGTGTATACACACACTTTGGATAATTATAAAGGCAGTGTTTATTAAAATGCATTTCATTTTCGAAATTGAGCTATCGGCTATTAAAGTGTGTCTATACATTTTGCGGGACACCCTGTACATGTATGTTAGCCCCAATTTAATTTCCAAATGGGAAATATGCACATTACTTCCATTAATCATTTTTAAATCTTCACTTTTGAAAAAAATATAGTCTATTTTCCCCAAGGGGCTGCAAAGGAACTCCAATGTGTATGATGCTAGCTTCGTGGTGTAATTCAACCACGGGATGTTTTAATCTCTTCGATGAAGCAACAGTTTTGTACCATGAAATTACTCTCTCGGCTCTGATAAATGCGGTATGAAGTGGACATCTAAAATGGAATGGAAATTGCTGTGGTTTTCTCACAAGACCTTCACAAATGACCGAACTTGGACTTTTCAGGACCGAGCACAAATTGGAGTAACCTGATAATCGTTTAACCCACGATTCGCTGCACATTTATGGTTCTGACAAACCTGGAGACATCATTTCAGAAAGCCGGTGATGGAAAACAAGCCCATGACTATATGCTGATAAAATCACTGGGGAAGTGGAACTAGAAGAGACAGTCCTTCCAAGACGTGGATCCTAACTGAAGAACCGAAGCCCGCAAATGAGAAGAAAAGATTAAGGACTGTATACAGTGTCATGGAAATGAGTGCACTGGCCACCCACCACCTACAGGACAAGTGACCATCCTGTTTAGCTACGAACAAGGGAAGACGGAGCAGCTGGACACCAGCTGGAAGCCCAGTCTCCAGCTTTCAAGTTCAAAGTTCTCACAGTCCCACCTGGTTTCATGCTTTGGTGCGACCTAAGAATGTTAGCCACAAAGCAAGGGACCAGGGGGCCATGATTCCAGAACAGCCACGCAGGGGTCGGGTACAGGCGTGTCACTTGGGCTAGCAAGTTTCTCAGCCTCTTCAGGCCCGGTTTACTCATCTGGAACATGGGGATGATAACAGCTCTTCTGTTGAATTGTGAAAATGAACGAGGTTGTCGCTAAAGTCCTTGGCACAGTGCCAGCCTAAAGACTTCCTGGAGCCCTCTATAAACGTACCGGCTTGGCCTCTAACTCAGGACACCCAACATTAAAGGCGGCGTCAGGAAGGACATTTGCCCCCAGCTCTGTCCTCTGCAGCACCGACGCCTCTCCCCCAAGCATGGACACGAGGCAAAGGTGCCATCAGCAGGGGAAGGGGAAGACCAGCTAGGAGGCGGCTTGGTCCCACCAGAGAAGCCGCTGGAATGCGCCTGCAGGAGCTGACAAGGTGCGGCTCGGCTCACTCAGAGGGTCCCCAGGGGTCCAGCCGGCTCCACTGCGCCCAGTGACTCTCAGGCTGGCGGCGGGGCTGCTCCGCGTCCGTGCGATGGTGATGTTGCCCCATCCCCTCCGGGAGCGAAGCTGGCAGCACAAGCCAAAGGGTTTCACCAACAAGTGCAAAGAAAGCGCGCCGGGCACCTGGCCCAGCTGGCGCCTACCCCAGCCCGCGGGTCCTCCGGGGCCGGTACCGAGTCCGGCGCGGATATCAAAGGCCGGAGGCGGCTTTGGGAGAACCGAGAACCGAACCCGCGCCCGGCCCGCGGGCATCAAAGGCCGGAGGCGGCTTTGGGAGAACCGAGAACCGAACCCGCGCCCGGCGCGCAGAGGGGAGCCGGGCTGAGGCTCAGGAGGGGCTGGGGCCGCCGCGCACCGCCCGGCCAGCAGTGCCCGGGGTCCCCGCGCCCCTTCATTCAAACCCGCCGCGCCCAGCCTCACGCCGCCGCCCCGGGGGGTCACCTGGGGGAGCAGCGCCCCGGTTCTGGGCGCCCCGCCCGGGGGTCGCGGGCACTCACCGAGCGTGGCCACCGCGCCGGCTTCGAAGAGCAGGCCGTCCCCGCGGCCACGCGCCTCCAGCAGGACGCCGCCCGCCTCCGGCCGCCCGAGCAGCCGCAGCCCCTTGCTCAGCGCCATGGGCCCGCGCCGCCCGCCCGCCACTGGCGGAGTTTCCCTGCGCGCAGCTCCAGCCCGCGAGGCTCCTCCCCGCCCCGCCCGCCCCGTCCCGTCCCGCCCCGTCCCGCCGGCCGCCCGGGCAGGTGAGGGCGCGGCCGGGCGCAGCGCTCCCCCCACCGGAGGCCGGCGTGGTCCCGGTCCGGTCCCGGGCGGATGGGGCGATGGCGGCCGGGCGGGGGACGTCCTGCGGGGCGGCCGGCGGGAGGGAGATTCCACACGTTCCTGCGCGCGGAGGAGGCCCCGGGAGTGGCCGCGGGAGCCGGGCCTGGTGCGCCCGCGGCCTTTTATGGGCAGCCCGCGGGCCCGAGCCGGCGGCCGCGCCTCCCTCCTTCGGCCTCTCGGGCGGGCGGCGACCCTGGGCGCGGCACTGGCACTCGGTTGCCCTGCGGGGAAGCGGGGTTTATAGGTACCCGCCTCTCAGGCGGAGCGAGGGCGCCCGGGAGCGGACAGCGCGGGGTAAGTCGCCTGCCCCTAGCTTCCGCGGAGGTCGGGGGTGCTGCCCTGGAGAGACTGAGGCCGTGTCTCCACACCTGCCAACAGGTGACCTTGACCCCCCCTCGCCTGCTCTCCTCACCTCGCAGCACCTGCCCACCCCCACCCGCGCCCTCACAGGGTGGGTGCGAGGATTGGAGGTGGGGTCAGAGGAGTTAGGGACGGAAAGCTCGGGAAGTAAGGAGCAGGCGCAACTGTGAGGTGCCACTTGCCAACCCTACCCCCACTGTTGTCTAACCCCCCCCCCCCCCCCCCCCGCCACCACCCCCTTCAGGGCAGAGGCTACAGTAAGCGGTGGTGCTCTCTGCACAGACCCCAGCACCGAACCGAGCTGGTCCCGAGTGCCGGCCCGTCCCAGCTGACCTAGAAGCTAAGTAAGGCACCTGCGTAGCCCCGAACACTGGTGTCATTATTAATTATTTAGCAGTATCTAAACAATATTTAATAGTAGCAGGTATTCAGTGAGTGTTCACATTTCCAATTGTCTCCGACGTGTCCTAAGCTGCTTCCCACAGTTTGTGGTTCACACACGTAAACCCCTTTTAAGAAGACGGTTTCCCTCCGTTTCCGTTTTCCCCTGCCATCTGCTTGTTGAAAAACTAGGTTGCGTGCCCAGCACTCCCCGCCCCTGGACTTGCTGAGTGTGTCCCTGAGGGTCTGTACCTCTGGCGTCCCTCCTTGTCATGTAGCAGCCACTGGTCCTCCGTGCAACCGTAGTCCTCCAAACAGCTCTGTCCTATTGCATCACTCCTTCCCTGGGAACTCAAATCCTTAACAGAGAATCCCCCCCTGCTGAGAGTAGCACAAACAAAGCTGGGGAACAGGGTTCTTTTCCTTTATTTACTCGTGTTCAGATAATGAGCTGTTTCGAACTCGGTGAATTGGCTCACTGGACCCTCCAACAGCGAGCAATGTTCTTAGTTGTTTAACTCGCACTCTGAGCTCCTATTCGAGTGGAAGCACATTTGCTGTGTCCCCGTCCAGGGCGGCTTTGGCCTTGCTGTGCTCAGTGCTCCCTCTCGACGCCACCCCGTGGCCTTTGACCGGCTCCTTGCTTCTGGTGTGGCAGCGGCAGGCTCCTCTTGCACATTTTCTGCTCCTCAGCCGGAAATGAATCATTTGTCCACGAAGTCCTGATTCTTTTAGTGGAAAAAGGACTTTCAGGGCCACAGTTGGGTGCTAAGAAGCCTGTGGATTTGAACCTCGCGCTTACCTGCCCGTGACTCTGGACAGTGTAGAGTTCGGCTCGTTTTCTCTAAGACAGTTACTCCAGCCCCCGCTCCGCCGTCACGCACGCACCCAAGGCAGTGTGCCTGGCCCCATTCTTCCCTGAGGAGGTGGAGTCCTCTTCCCCCATCACCAGGTCTCCACGGCGTCTTCTTCCCTGCAGGGTTGGGCCAGTGCCTGCTCCCCTCCCCGTGTGCTGGGACCCTGCCCCTCCTCCCTCCCCAAGGACTTAGTCCCTCCCCTATCCCCCCTGTCCCCCATCACCCGTCTCTCCCTCCCTCCCGGCCGTTCCCAGCAGGTACACATGTGCTCTAGTGTCTCCCCCCAGAGAGAGGGGCCCCTCCCTCCACCCGCATCACCTCTCACTGGGCCCTTCTCAGAGATCATGAACTTAAGGGAAGCCCCTCTGCAAGATGGTGGGGCTCCCTGGCACTGTTTAGGGGTGTTAGGAGCAAGCTGGGGTGTCCATCAATTGAGCTACCAACCTTACACCACACACAGGTAAAGCTCCCCGGCCCATCTCTCCCCTTGACCACCGTGCCCACCATCACTGCTCTGTGGTATCCGCCTCCTGCCTCCGCTCCTTGCCCTGCGGCATGCATGCCAAGTGGTCACCGGCCACCAGCTTCTGATGGCACTTGGGCGACGTACCTCCTCCCGCCCCCCCTACCCCTCCCTCCTCCCTGAGTCCCAGGCCTGCTCTCCTCACCACGTTTCCTGTTCTTTTCCCTCTTCCAGCCCTTGGACATCTGTGCTTCGCTCAGTCCCTTCACCCAGACCGAACCACGCAGGACGGTGATGTGAGACTGGAACCTGGATCCACCCTTTACCTCGGGTGACCTTGAGCAGCTGACTTGACTTCCTGGTGCCTCGATCCTTCATCTCTCCTACGGAGAGGTGGTGAGAATTACGTGCATCGAGGGCATGGACAGCGCTGGCCGCAGTGGCAGCACGTGGTGGCCGCCATCACATGCCCCACGGTCCCACCGGCTCCGCGCCTGGCCTTCCGCGAGGCCTTGCTGAGTGAAGGGACGATGACCCGTGGACCCCTGCTCGGAGCCTCTGAGGGAACGACACGCCACTGCCTGTGCTTCCCTCAGCCTGGGCTCAGCCCCGGAGAAAGACCACAGCTACGCAGCTACTGGCGGTGGGAATGCGGGAGGCAGCCAGGCGGCATTTACCTGCTGGCGGGGAAGGAGGGGGGAGGTGGGGGGGTCAAGCACGCTCCTTTCTAGTTCTCCAGTGTCACTCACTCAGGAACAGCTGTGCCTCTGGGTCACCCGCTGGGCGGAGGCCGCACAGGCCAGGTGCTGCCCTTGGCCGGGCTCCTGGGAAGCTGGCTGGCTCTCCTGGCCTTCACAGGGAATGGGGGTGCAGCTTTAACAGGACCGTTGTTTAGAAGTTCATTTTATTAAGTTATTACTTTTGTAAAAAAGGAATATGAGGCACTGATCCATCTACACACACACACACACACACACACACACACACACAACTGGACCTAAGGCCTCATGTTGATATAACTGGGAATGGGCTCACTTTACTTCCTCACGACCCACCTGAAGCAGCAGAGCCCGCAGGGCTATGATCTCTCAGAACTGCACCCAAGCGGCCTGATCCCAGTAAAACTGCCACCATCCCCTCCACCATCCCCTCCACCATCCCTTCCTCCATCCCCTCTTCATCCCCTCCACCATCCCCTCCTCCATCCCCTCCACCATCCCTTCCTCCATCCCTTCCTCCATCCCTTCCTCCATCCCCTCCTCCATCCCCTCCTCCATCCCCTCCATCATCCCTTCCTCCATCCCCTCCTCCATCCCCTCCACCATCCCTTCCTCCATCCCCTCCTCCATCCCTTCCTCCATCCCCTCCTCCATCCCCTCCTCCATCCCCTCCTCCATCCCCTCCACCATCCCTTCCTCCATCCCTTCCTCCATCCCCTCCTCCATCCCCTCCTCCATCCCCTCCACCATCCCCTCCACCATCCACTCCTCCATCCCCACCACCATCCCCTCCACCATCCCCATCACCATCCCCGTGGCCTGGCAGCTCTGGCTGCAGCCCCTGCAGGCTCTGTGTGCTCAGCAAGCTCTGAGCCTGGCGACCCAGAGACCCTCACATGTCAACAAGGCCTGGCATTGGAGGAGCTGATCTCCAGGGAGCGTGGAGAAAGAGGCGGAGTGAGAGGAAATGCCCACAGCAGCTGCAAAACATCACCGCATTCTTGCACATCTCAAGCTGTGTGACTGTTTTAACCTCAAAACTGAACTAAATCCATGTGAGATGTCACGAAAATAACTAAAAAATCATCTGCCAGGGTTTAGCGAGCACAACCCAAAGCAAAGGTGGCTGCTGCCGGGCCATCGCTCATGGGCCCTCCCTCTCCAGCTTCCCCCAGCACCTCAGGAGCCTCTGTCTGTCTCGGTGAGGACGGCTCTGGGACTATAAAAATACCCCACACTTGTGTTTTTAAGGGCATTATAAGTGAAAGGGTTTTATACATTAAAAACCCATGACAAGCCGCCTCGAGCCAGCAGTGTCTCGTGACAGAGCGGTTTCCAAGCTGAATTCCTTCCTGCCGAGCACGCCCAGCAGACCCCGGCGTCCGCACATGTTTATTTAGACAGATTTCTCTACCTCCGGAAGGTTGGCCCATCATTAGCGAAGTAAGCCTCCCCTGCCTCTCAGTGCCAAGACTCTTCAGGAAGTAGTGAGGATACACACAACTTTCTCTACCCTCTCTCTCCATTCTATCACTCGCCCATCTTTCCAGAACCTCCCTCAAACACGCCAGACGCCCTCAGAGCCACAGGGCCGTCAGCTCTGAAGGGAAACACACCTTTTAGAAGAAGGACATTCTTTTCTCCTCAAGGCCCCTCTCTCCCCCCGCGCCCTTCCCTCCCTCCTTTGGCCAGAGGGTGAGCATAGCTCTTCGGTCTGTCCTTTCTGCAGCTGCTCTGAGCATAAAGAACCCCAGGTGCTTGTGGCGATGACCACACAGACTAAAGCACTGGGTCTTGTTCTGACAGCTGACCTGGGCCATCAGCTGGAAACTCAGGACTGGAAACCGACTTCCCACCCACCTGTGGAATGACCCACCTCTCCCTCTTCAGGACACCCCTGTGGTGAGGAGCTCCAAAGAGAAGCGATTACGAGAAAAAGAACAGGATGCGCTGATGACCTGAGAGATGACAGTCTGGGTGGGTGAGGAAACTGACATCCTTAGAATGACCCGCCACTGAGTCACCCACCCCTTTAAGCATCGGATGGAAGACACAAAGCCTTTCCCCAGAGAAG